CCGATCAAATCGCTTAGACACGCGTTGGAAAGCTGAGCTCAAGCTGACCAATTTACATAATAAAATCATCAAAATTGATGGAGCGGTCCAAAAGTTATAGGCATTTTTATGAAAAAAAGTGCGAATTCACTTTTTTTCTATATATGTATATATTATATACATATATATATGAGAAGCGAGAAAACAACGGAAAATAAAATGCTGCACGTGCCCGATTGCCTATCGTACCCGCGAACGACTCGTTTATTTTAGAAAGAACGCGAAAAAAGTTTTTAATATTTACATTGAATCATGATCTATTTCGTAAAACACAAATAAATAGTTCTACCTTTTTTAGTTTTAAAATGTCTGCATATAATAAATAGCTTTCCATTTCTCATAAAAGACAACAGCGTTTTATTTATACGAGTTTTATATTACCATTGAAATAACATCATCACTAGACGATACGAAATACGTGTAATTTTACAATTAAAGCAAGTTATGTTATCTTATATTTTATTTGACTATCGATTGAACAAACAGTAATGGTGGTCAAAAGCTGCAAACTTTGAGGACTCATGATTCTCACCTGAGATTATACGGAACTCCAGATATATTTTAACTTTTTCCAAAGTCGGCAACCTTATCGTCAACCACTTTCTGTCCAGCCTAATGTTCCATCAATCTGGCATTGCTCTGTTAGCCTTTATAAATTGTATGACCTATCGAGAAATTGTCAGAATCTCTCTCAGTCTAGAATAATATAAAAGCTGTGCTATAAACAATAATTATTATTTTTCTATCTTGTAGACGATGTTGGTCGTGTTGGTCGTGCTAGTAGACAGGACAGGTGACGGCAAACAACTTTGTACTAGAACGGAACATTTCGTAGATAAATTGTCGACTATTGAGTAGTGACTTGCACGGGTAAGGAAACATAACCCGAAGCCGATCCAACTGTCAAACTGTTGTCGATCTACCCGACAACAACTTCATCCGATCCGGCCCAATACAAACAATCCGAGCATACAGACTTACCTTGTTAGACAAAACTTTTCCAGTGTATATTGCAGCATCTCCTAATTCAAACACTTTTTATTTATTATACAAAACTACAGATTCTGTTTCCTACCAGTACAAACTACTCAAAGAGATCACTTTTCTATCAGCTAAAATTTCTTTAAAATAATACACCATCCACTGAAGCAGGATTTAACCCTTTGGCTCCCGGTGACGTATAAATACGTCTAGTTGCAATTATTGCATGATCATAATAGCTAGAATAAATTTGAAAAAAGATTTGAATAGCTGGAAGAATTTCCGATCTCAGGTGGTGTATAC